TAGTGCAAAATTTACCAGCATATTAAAAACAATTGCAAAAATTTGAATTTTAATAAAAAATATACTATTTATAAATGTTTAGAAAAATTAGCAATGAAACAAAAATATTCACCCTAAATAAATAAACTCATTTTAAACAGTTATAAGTAATATGCAATTAAATATAGTTAATAGTTCTAGTTAATTTAAGTTAATGTATAATTAGTTATCTAAGATTTATAGTTGTATTCTATATAATTTAAGTAATAAATTTAGTTAATAATTCTATTGTATTTGATATAAGAATATAATAATAAAAACTTAATATATAAAGCATAATCAATTATTGTATAATATGGTGTTTATGAATACTCTTCATGAAACTAGTGTTACTGTATGGCATAGCCGAGTCTGGACAGCCAAATATATTAAGAGCATTTACACTAATAACAATTGTGGTTGCGCTACTCCGGTGTTTTCGCATCATGTCATAGGCAAATATCATATTTTAGTATGAAGCTAGTATAAAATTTCAGCAAAAATCAAATTTTAAATAATTTGGAAGACTTGTGTATTTCATGCACACGAAGCCAGTCATATATTTTAAGCAAAAAAAAGCGCACAAACAAAATCCAAGCATCACATTTAAAAATATTGTCTCACCTACCCATGCATATATATATTTAGTAAGTGTGCAATAAAAAGAAGAGTAGAAAAAATTTATCAAGAAACTTACATACGCATGAACTAGAAGCTATGTGTGCATTTGCTCTGATATTAGAGTTTTTTCTATATTATTTTGTCCAAACAAAATACAACATATTCGCTATTGGTTTGATTGCTCACTTCACTAACAAAATAGCATTGATCATACATAAAATAATAAGTTCGATTGTTTATACGTTTGAACAGACATGTTTTTCCCATTGCGTGTACCTTTTCAGAATTCATGATTTTTTTAACAGAGGCAAATTACATGTCTTTATATTTCTATGTTTTTGGTGTAAGTTGGCTAACAGAGCTGTGCAAAATCAATTAAATTACAAATTAAATTACAATTACAGAGTAATTATAATTGATAATTGAATTTCCAGATTATATGTGTAATTTAATTGAAAACCTCAATTACGAATTACAGTATAATCTTAATTTGTAATTTAGTTTCTGAATTACAGTCATAATTGAAATTGAAAAACCAAATTTCAAATTACGTGTAATTTGCTCAAGTAATCTAGAGAAGAAGAAGCATTGAAACTTTTGAAAGATGATAAACGAATCGAAACTATGGTTGGATTTTGGGTTGTAAGTGGCCCGCATTTTGTTTGCGCCTTCATTCATAGTATTTTGTTGGGTTGCTTGTTTTTGTTTTTTACATTTGGTGTGTAGAAGTGTTCCATTAGAACTTCAAAGCAGATCAAGAGGCAGAAAAATTTTTTCTTTTGTACGCAAATCGAAATCTGAATATGTTGCATTGTTGCTTTTTTTCATGAAGTTGTCAATTTAATATTGCTGTTTTTTTTTTGTATTTCTGTCTTGTGCAGTGATCGAAAATATGTATTTAGAAATGTGTATACTTGTTTCATTTGTTCGGTTGCGTGTGTACTTTTCTATGCTTTTGCTCTATGATATTTGTTTGTTTTGCTTGTATGTTTTTTTGTTTTGGATTGTAGTTTTTTTTTATGAAATTTAGGAAGGTGTCTATTTCGCATGTTTTTATTATTTCTTTTGTTTTAAGCGCTGATATGCATGTGTGTCAGAATGTGTATACATTTTGTTGTTTTTTTTTGTTTAATTGATTGAACATTTGACTATGAGTTGCGCGTAAATTTTTTAAAGCAAATTTGAAAAGATCGTTGTTTTTGTGCATCAAATAAATATATGCAAATTTGTAAGCAGTATATGTATGTGTGTACAATGTGTATGCAAATAATATAATTTTATCTGTAATGAGATTATGCCTACATTTATGTTTTAAGAATTATTTTTATTGCTAAATACGATTTAGAAATTATAATAACAAAAATGAGTAAAAATATGTAGTTTAAGAATAAAATTTTTGGACAAAGTCTTATGCTGGATGTATATTTGGTTTTGTATGTGCAATAATTTTTTATTGAATATTTATTAAATGGTTAATTGCGTACAATGTTTAATTTTTCCCTGTTATATACGTATATGTGTATTTTTATATTTCTGAATATAATCAATAATTTTAATAACTAATTTTTATTAATATCGTCTAGTGATAATATGCATGTATATATAAAATATTTAAAATTATATATTTCAATATTTTGTAGCAATGTGATAACAATACCAAATATACTTTAAAAATTTATATTTCAATTTAATATGAATGCACTTGGTACAAATATTTTGAGAAAAAAATCAGTAGTAATAAGCGTGCATTTAAGGGTTTTGCCCAGTTTTATTTTTTTGTTTTTTGTTTTAAGCGAATGTGTGTACTTTTCTTCTTTTTTTTGGTTTGACTGATTTCACATTTGCTTATGCGTACCGCCTGAATTTTTCTAAGCAAATTTGGGAAGATCGTTGTTTTTGTAAGCAGTATATGTGTGTACAACGTGTATGCAAATATAAGTACAAGTTTATCTTTATGCCTACATTTGTTTTTTTAAGCGATAATGTGCATATTGATACGTTTTGTTGATTGTCTAGTTGATGAAGAATAAAGAAAAGAAAAAATTTAACTTACGCGCTTTGGTTTTATAATTTAAGACAGATTAAAAGTGTTTGTAAATTAGTTCAAGAAAATCTTTATTGAAAAATTTATTTAAATAATGTATATAAAAAAGATATGAAATTTAATTATATATTGTTTTATATCTTATACTTTCAGTTTGCGTATTTTTAAATGAATTATTAGAAAAATTTATTTATGGAATATCTTTAATTTTGTATATCATATTTAAGAATACATACATATGTATATGCCAACAACAACGCTTATTTATTAAATGTATATATTTATTAAATTAAAATTTAAGTTAATGATGAGATAATTTAATTGTGGGAAAATTGAAACATGTATTAAAAATTGCAGTTGCATAATTTAGCATAAGCTAAATTTTTCCTTTTCTTTATTTTAACTCAGCTGTACAATCAACTAAATATAATAAAATGCATATTATCCCTTACAAAAACAAATGTAGGCAAACCTTATGAGCAAAACAAATTATATTATTTGCACACAAATTGATATACATATACTGCACAAAAACAACGATCTTGCCAAATTTGCTAAAAAAAATGCACACGCTTCGCATAAGCAAATGTAGAATCGTCAAACCAAAAAAGAAACAACAAAATGTTTACACATTCGCTTAAAACAAAAAACAAAAAAATAAAATTGCGCAAAACCACCCTTAAATGCATGCTCATTACTCAGCTTTCCATGATAATTTTTTTCTCAAATATTTATAACAAATAAATTCAAACTAAATTGAAATTCAAATTTTTAAAGTATATTTGGTATTGTTATTACATTCCTACAAAATATTGAAATATATAATTTTAAAAATTTTATATATACATGCATATTATCACTAGACGATATTAATAAAAATTAGTTTTTAAAATTATTGATTATATTCAGAAATATAAAAATACACATATACGTATATAACAGGGAAAAATTAAACATTGTACGCAATTAACCATTTAATAAATATTCAATAAAAAATTATTGCACATACAAAACCAAATATACATCCAGCATAAGACTTTGTCCAAAAATTTTATTCTTAAACTAGATATTACCATATTACCACTCATTGTTGTTATTATAATTTTTAAATCGTATTGAGCAATAAAAATAATTCTTAAAACATAAATGTAGGCATAATCTCATTACATATAAAATTATATTATTTGCATACACATTATACACACATACATATACTGCTTACAAATTTGCATATATTTATTTGATGCACAAAAACAACGATCTTTTCAAATTTGCTTTAAAAAATTTACGCGCAACTCAAATGTTCAATCAATTAAACAAAAAAAAACAACAAAATGTATACACATTCTGACACACATGCATATCAGCGCTTAAAACAAAAGAAATAATAAAAACATGCGAAATAGACACCTTCCTAAATTTCATAAAAAAAAACTACAATCCAAAACAAAAAAACATACAAGCAAAACAAACAAATATCATAGAGCAAAAGCATAGAAAAGTACACACGCAACCGAACAAATGAAACAAGTATACACATTTCTAAATACATATTTTCGATCACTGCACAAGACAGAAATACAAAAAAAAAAAGCAATATTAAATTGACAACTTCATGAAAAAAAGCAACAATGCAACATACTCAGATTTCGATTTGCGTACAAAAGAAAAAATTTTCTGCCTCTTGATCTGCTTTGAAGTTCTAATGGAACACTTCTACACACCAAATGTAAAAAACAAAAACAAGCAACCCAACAAAATACTATGAATGAAGGCGCAAACAAAATGTGGGCCACTTACAACCCAAAATCCAACCATAGTTTCGATTCGTTTATCATCTTTCAAAAGTTTCAATGCTTCTTCTTCTCTAGATTACTTGAGCAAATTACACGTAATTTGAAATTTGGTTTTTCAATTTCAATTATGACTGTAATTCAGAAACTAAATTACAAATTAAGATTATACTGTAATTCGTAATTGAGGTTTTCAATTAAATTACACATATAATCTGGAAATTCAATTATCAATTAAATTACTCAGTAATTTATAATTGAGTGTAATCTAATTACAAATGTAATCATTATTGCACAGCTCTGTTGGCTAAGATATTTGTATATATACATACATATATACATATAGACTTTCACATAAAATAGAATAGAGCAAAGTAGTAGAGCAAGAAGTAGAAGGATATTTACAGCCAAGTAGCATTCCCCAGACAGATACAAGAAAAAGAGTACAGATAATTATAAAATAACTTTTTATGCAATAATAAATATTCAACAAAATGTTGCTATGTTGTTCAAAGTGTTGTGGATGCTGTTGTTGTTGTTGTTGTTCATACCTGCAACGTCAGAGATTGGCGTACCAGATCACGTTTCTTTACCGGATATCGCTCCTGTGTTAGGTAAAAATATTATATGTGTAGCAGTTGATTTGTAGTAGTTGTTGTTTGTTATTGTTGTTGACAAAAGCATTGTAGTTGGTGGCAGTGGCAGTGGCAGTACGTATAGTAAGAGTTGCAGTGGTGATTAAAAAGTGGCGCATAGATAAGCGTACGTCATTTGCATAATTATTTATAACAATTTTTATTTTTTATTTTTATTGTATTTTTAGCATTATTTTTATTTTATTTATATTTATTTAATTTCATTTCGGAAACAACAACATTTATGCGTGTAGTTGGCAAGTGTAGATTTGCATTTTTTTTACCGACGTTGGTGTGATTTTGTGTGTTGGTGATTTGGTAGTGACATATGATAATGTTGAGATGATAGTACATTTTTTAATTTGAAAAAAAATTGTTCACAAATTATAGAAAACGAAAATATATTATATGAATTAAACTTAATATTAAGTACTTAAAAATATTAAGAATTTATTTATTTCAAACAAAGCACAAATAAAAAATATTCTAAAAATAAGACTACAAGCTGTTCACTAAACTCGGTTTATAATTAAAGTGACCCCCAATAAATTTGAAAAAAAAAGATACTAAATTGTGTGAAGGAGATAAAATATAAACGAAAATAGTCAAATCAACAGCAAAGAGGTACATAATTATGCCAATTAGCGTTCATTTATTAATAAAAGCAAACCACTTTAGCACATAAAATGAAATCAAATATACAGAAACTCAAAACCTGACAACTGGGCTGGGCTAGGCAAAAGTGTACAAAGAATTTACAATTAATTACAGAAAATTTACAAAGTCTTCTAGAACAAAAACAGAAGGCTAAGTAAAGTTGGAAGTAATAAGAAAAAAAATATTTACTAACTATTGTCGTAACTCATTTACCTGATAAGGACTTGGTTTGCTACTCTTGCCAGAATCCTTTGAACCTTTCGCATCCTTCGAATCGGCTGGATCTGGTGACTTTTTCTTTGACTTTTTCTCTTTTGGTGGAGATTTTGGTTTATTGCCACCGCCATTACAACAGGAGCTTTCTGTTAAACAAGTTTAGCAAAACAATTTTTTTAAATTAATTGAATTTCAGCTTTTATATTGACCAAATTATATATATATATATGTAGCCGTTTAATTGGAACTTAATTTGTAAAGAACATACCCTGTAGTAGAAAACAGAACACATAGAGCAGGAAGAGTATGCTAGCGCCATATAGATAAGTGAAGAATGTCTCGTAATAGAGCACTGGCAGACGATGTGTGGTCACATCACTAATGACATATGCAATGCAAACGACGATTAAAATGATGGCATACACCAAGCTGGTGACGATGAATAATGATGTCCTATAAATAAGATAAATAAAGATATTAATTTTTGTATATAATTTATTGCTACAAAGTTGAGAAAGTATATAAAAATATAAAGTGAAAGTCCAATACTTTTTATGCAAATCAGTAATTAGTAAGTGGAAATTAATAATTACAATCCACAACATTATTTTATTAGTAAACTCAGTACTTGTTAAACTATAAATAATTCAAAAATAAATGCATACATACTTTAACTTATTGAAATTCATTAATTGCAAGAAAATATGAGTAAATCAGTTATTTTAACTATAAAAATATGAGTGCTTATTAGTGCTTAATATTTTTTTCAAATAACATCTATTTTAATATAATTTATTGAAAAACATAAAAAATGTAAAAATTTCTAAAATACAGTTTATTTAAATAGTACGACCTGCTTAGATTGTGAAATATAATATATTTAAATATAAAAATGGTTATATATTTGGAATAGAGTACCTAGGTATTATGAATTATTCAGTTATTTAGATTAGAGTACCTATTTGACATATATATAAGTAGAGAACCGAAAACATAGAACTATATTTCTGTCTTATTAGAAATATATTTATATACAGTATTACCTAGATTAATGCAACTAATAGAATTCGAGTGTCTTACAATAAACGACTTTAGTTTTATTTAGTGTATTTAATATTTTTTAATCAAATAAACAGAAATTAACACAAAGTTTATTAGAAAATAATATAATTATTTATTTTTGTTTATAACAACATAATTGCAATTATACTTTGCAATTAAGATTCGCTGTAACTGCCTCATTTCTTAGATCTATAAGTATCATAACTTTTGTAAGAGGTATGGAATTTTCCTCAGCCCATTGAAGATCTGTTTTAAGTACATTTATTGCCAAACCATTTTGAATTATGTGTAATTACATGGCTTCAGTTTCCGAGTCTGAATCTATATCGATATCAAGTTGTTCTGCAAGAGACACATTTTGCATACAAAATTCGTTGACCCATTCATCCATTTCTTGTTGAAATAATATGACTACCGCAATCTTCGCGGTAGTCAATATAAGAGGTGTTGCAATATAAGAGGTAATATAGGGAAAATTTAAGCGATTGCAATAACCGAGGACTTGCGATATTCGAGGGTTGCATTAATCGAGGTCATACTGTAGTTGTATTCATATAATATTTTATAGAATAATGGTTTTTATAAGTTTTTTATCTGGTTTTAGGTCACTTTTTGTTAAAATTCAAATTCAACGTTTGCTCAATATTTTTTAATATATTCCATATTTCAATTCTCCTTGACAGTTATCATCAGGATCGGGATGCTATCATTAATATTGACACGTTTTCTCAAATTTTCAATGACTGTAAAACTATTTATTGTCAATTTAACTTATCAAAAAATTAAAAACTATTATTAAAAAAAATAGGTCGATAAATAAATTCAACATTTAATATTTTATATAATACTATATAGGAATATATTTCTAGATATATAACTCGGTGTTTTTATACAGAGTGAGGAATAAATATTCCTAATATTTCTGAAGGTTGTAGTATATTTAGACGTTATTATTAAGTGGGAACTAATGGAGTAAGTGCATGTAGAATATAATTATTTTTTATCATAATGTAAAATTTGTTTTGTGTAACAATATTAGTAATAAGCTTATAGAGAAATATGAGTTTTGTATGTCCTTATTAGAGACAAATTATGCAAGTAAGATCAAAATTAATCACTTATTATATTGTTGTTGTTGTGATTTGAGTTAGTGCTATTGCGCACTTTTACTCTTTTGTGGCTGGGTGGGCTTATCCCTGCCCCACACTAAGTTTTAACTATACTAGAATTATCATCATTTAATTATCTTTTAACTGATGACGGATCGTACATCAGCATATCTTCCTGTGCGTCCTAAGGTGGATCTAAGGTTTGTTAGAGCCGGGTTGGGCAACGTACCAACTTTTGTAAATAATTTTAGGACTCTGTTCTTAATATATATTTTTTCACTCAGTCGATCCTTAGATCTCTATATATATTATTATATTATGTATATATATATATTATATTATTGATTACAAAATTTATTTATAAACATTGCTTACTGATTTTAAAATGGTTTAGTTTTCTAAAATTTTTATAGTGTTTATAGTATTTTTTAAAGTAAATAGAAGGAACTTCATATATCTATAATTATTTAATTTATTATATACTAAATTATGGAATAAACAATTTTAATATTGCAATTACGTTATACGATAATAACGATATGTAATTTTTTATATTTAAATTGGTAGCAATATTTAAAACTTCATTTTATTTCAAGTTCCAATTAACCTCAGGTATAACAAGTTGTGATAAATAAATCTGTTTCTCATTTAAGACAAGGTATAAAATATACAATAATTCAAGAATATAAAAATCGCAGCCATATATGTTTTATTGTAAATTTGAAGAAACCACAGAAAGTTGAGGAGCTTACGCCATAAATGTCAAATTTTACCTTAAACTCAAAACACGCAAAGAATTGATTTAGTTGCCTCTTTCTTACAAGAGTATAGGCGCAGCCAAAAGGCTTTGGAAGTAATATCATTATTTTGTATGATGCCCAATAGTAAATGTCTAAAACTGTTATTGACAAAAAACTGTTAAAACTGTTAAGACCTAAATATTTCATGGAACACTAGTATGGACTAAAGCTTTGAAATATGTGCCCTATTATCCTGAGTTTTATATCAATACAGTGGAATTCTGATCTTAGTAGTGGGAATCTGTAGTGATTTTAAAACAGTCTTTCATAAAGCACTCCTAATATTAGCAGATGACTACATTAATAACATATTAATTAGGAAGAGAGTAGATATGCAAAAAGTAGCTATCCTTAGAATACACTGTAATATTACCGGTAGAACAACACCCCCTTCAAAACTGAATGTCAAGGAATAGATAGAAAAAAAACGAATTAAGTAAATGTCAAAGAATTACATTTCATACTCCATATACCTTCGTTTTCGAAACTTTCGAAAGATCGAAAGTTATTGTGTTTCAAAGAAGATTTTTTTTTATTTGTTCGATATTAAATATTAATTTTTTTAAAACCTCATTTTGCGATCAGTTTTTGGCTAAATAATTTTATTTTTTATCATCCACTAATTTCCTGATATTATTTTTTAGTGGGTATAAAATACTACAGTAAAAAATAAATTTATGCGTATTTGTTGAAAAAAGTAATATAGTAGTTAAGTCCCTTGAAAGTACAATATCAGAAAAACGGCGCATGATAGAAGAAAAACTCTATCGTCAAAAAAGTCTATTTTCATTCTATAATAGAATATTGATATACGAAAAATAAGCAAAAATCCTAGCAAAAATATTGAAAAATTAATATTTTTCGCAAAAATTATCGGAAGTTTTCAAAAAAAAATTAACATTTAAGCACCAACACATATAAGTAATGAAATTAAAGTATATTTAGTGGACTAATAGTTGGTATCCAACTAAAGTGATTCCAATACATTTTGTAAGTATTCTATGTAAAAATTAGAACCGTTTAATTTTATTTCTTTAGACGTTAAGCAAAATTTTTGAGTTATTTTTGAGTAGAGCAGAAAAATACTGCACAATACAAATATTTCAAAAAATATCTTCCAAAATTGTAGAAAAATAATTAATTACTATTCAAAATTAATTATCAAAGTAATAATTATAATAATTATATTAAAAATATAATTATGAAAGTAATAATTTTCGATCACTTCAAATTGATTACTTGATTACTTTAAATAAAATAGTGGTAGTAAAATGATCACTCTTACTATTTATTACTATTTATTACTATTAATACTTAATTATCAAAGTAATAATTATATTAAAAAATAATTATGAAAGTAATTATTTTCGATCACTTCAAATTTATTACTTCATTACTTTAAATAAATATTAATAAAAATAAATTATTATATATGTATATATACTCATAGTTATGTTTTGTATTTGACGTATATATACTCGTGGTATATTTTTGATTTTTTTTGAAATTTTTAAAATCTCAAATTAACTTATATTTTTGACAAAATGTTTAAATACATAAATCACTTATATTGTAATGCATTCGGCGTTTTTAATGAATTTTTTAATTTTAGTTAAAATATAAAAAACTCCTCTAACTTTATTTTTTATTTAATATCGAAGTTTGAAGAAATAATTATGATTTTAGTTGAAATATATTAAAACTAATATTTTTGAAAATTAATCCGTTAAATATCAATTTATTTAATAATTTAATTATATCAAATATTTTGACTTTATATCACGCACATTGCCTGCCTTACAGCAAATTAAAATACAAATTTTTAAAAAAAAAAATAATTTAATAAATTCACTTAAATTAAGAAAAAATCTTTAGAACCACTTGAGTTCAGAACCTGCTGAACATAACTAAATTTAAATTTTTTTTAAAATCGCGAAATGTTCTATTTTCTCTAAATGTTTGCTTAGCATTGATAAAGAAAAATCTCTTTGAAGTAAATTTTTTCTTAGACATGGAAATCTCTTAGTGGACCACACTTTGATGATTCAGGAGTTCTCTAAAAATCGGCCAAAATTTTGTTTACTTTGTTAGCCACAGTATGGCTCTCATTGTTTTGATGAAATTAATTATTTTGAACAGCTGCGAAATATATTGTTTTATATACTTTTAATGAGAGCAAATTTATTCAGTTTACTTTTCAGAAAAACGTGATTTCTTTCTGATTTCTGAACTTAACAAACGTAAACTGTGAATAAAATAATTTTACCTTAAAGTGTAAATTAAACATAAAAAAGAATTGTTAATCATTTTTGAATTATTTTCCGAGGTGTTGAAAACTCTTTCACATAAATACTTTAGTTGGGCAATAATTCATTGTAAAATACATAATATTTCTATAATAATTCTATACTTGTATACTCGTACATAGTATACAATATATCATATAATTATTAATTTAATAAAACTTAACTTCTAAAATGAGGACACTAGGTCTTGGATGAACATTGAGTTTGTTTTCAATGGAATAATACCCATATATATGATTAGATTAATTGCCAGTACTTTATAAATTATTTGAGTGCTAAATAAGTAAGTTATATTCAATTCTATTTTCCACAGTCTTATTTTGAATATTAATATACTCACATTCAAAATATGTAACAAAATCTTTTTTAAGTGCCTTTGATCTCTTTTCTAATTCAAATATTTAACTCACGTCCTAATAAGGATATATTGTGTATATAACATATATATATATATATATATATTATATATATATATTAAATATATACTTGTGACCGAAAAAGTTCCGGAATTTTAAATAAAACGCAAAATTCTTTATCTTCATCAATATTTATTTTATCTCCTTCAAAATATGCTCCATTAGAAGCGATACACAAATGCCAACGTTTCTTCCAATCATCAAAACATTTTTTATAGGCGCTTTCCGGTATGGCTTTGAGTTTCCTCTGCGAATTCTGTTTTACGTCTTCTATGGATTCAAAACGCGTTCCTCTGAGTGGTAATTTGAGTTTGGGAAACAGGAAAAAGTCACACGGTGCAAGATCAGGTGAATACGGGGGCTGTTCGATGGTATTTATTGAATGTTTGGCCTTAAAATCGTTGATAATGTTGGCTCGGTGCGAGGGAGCATTATCGTCATGAAAAATCCATGAATTATCCTTCCACAATTGAGGCCGTTTACGGCGGATATTTTCACGCAAACGTCTTAAAACAGTCAAATAATAGGCTTTATTGACTGTTTGTCCTTCAGGGACGAATTCATGATGCACCACACCACGAATATCGAAGAAAACAATCAGCATTGCCTTGATTTTCGAGCGACTTTGGCGTGGTTTTTTCGGTTTCGGCTCGTCTTTTCCTCTCCATTCCGATGATTGTTGGCTTGTTTGCATGTCGTACTCGTAGACCCATGTCTCGTCACCCGTTATGATGCGTTCCATGAAAGTTGGATCGGAATTGGCACGATCAAGCATGTCTAACGAGACCTGTCCACGATGGTGTTTTTGGAACAAATTGAGGTGAATCGGAAAAAGCCGAGCGTTGACACGTCGCATACACAAATTGTCCACCAAAATCAAACGAGCCATCTCACGACCGATGCCTAGCTCTCGTGCTATCTCTCTAACACTCACATGAGGATTTTTGAACACGATTTCCTTTGCCTTTTCAATGTTTTCGTCGGTGGTAGAGGTCGAAGGTCGTCCAGAACGCGGCATGTCTTCGACGGTCGTACGACAGTCCTGAAAGGCTTTGTACCACTCATAAACTTGAGTTTTCGATAAAACTGATTCCCCATAAGCCTTTTGTAGCATTCGCAACGATTCTGCACACGAAAATTCGTTCGAAACACAAAATTTGATGCAAACTCTTTGATCAATATTTTTTTCCATTGTTTTTTTTCGCAACGCACTACTGAGGTGAACTGGTTTCAACAGCTGCCGTAAACGAACTGTCTGACAGATCGCGCTCATTTTTTGCATAGTAATTAAGGACAGTGCTGCCAAACTACATAAACTTAAAATATCGAAAAATATACAGCGCGCGAATTTTAAATGAGAATTTCCGAAAAATTTTCGGTCACAATGTATAT